TTGGGGACATTCTAGGCCCAGTGGCCTCCCAGTTGTCCCCATCCTGCTTTTTTATTAGTTTATTTTTGGGGTGTTTCTTTAGAAAAAACCAAACCTCTGAACCCCATTAACAGGCAAAACACTCTACAGAAGTAGGAAGCTGAAGGAATGCCTCAAATTTGTGTCTGACCTGCCAAGCTGAGTAATCTAACAAGTCTAGAATGTGTTCCCAGAGTAAATCATAGAGAATTGTGGTCAGCATTCTTGGAAGCACATCATTAAATCTCTACACAGTTCAGTACTAGATGTCATCACTAGTCATAGCAAGATCCCATAGGGCAATCAGCTTTGTTTTGCTTTCCTCTTTCACCTGGGTGCTGATTTGGCTGTTAAATTGTCCCTAGCACAGGTTTGTAGGAGAAACAGTGGCAGGTTTCAACATGGTGTCAGCTAAAGAGGTTCAACTTGTCAGGAGCAAAGAGGAAAAAAAGGAAAGACAAGATGCTGTCTTACTGTTGGGGGAAAAAAAATGGTCTGTCCACTGTCTGTAGGAGGTTCAACTTGTCAGGAGCAAAGAGGAAAAAAAGGAAAGACAAGATGCTGTCTTACTGTTGGGGTTAAAAATGGTCTGTCCAGTGTCTGTAGCTTCATTTTCTATCCTGTATTTGGGAAAATGTTCTGTGTTAAGCCACTGCCTTAGCTTGGGTTTGTTTTCTCCTCCCCAGGCTGCTCCAGCTCTGCCAGAGAACCATGGCACTGCCTGTTGGACGAGGGATGTTCACCTTGTTCTCCTATCATCCTGTTCCCACGGAGCAGCTGCCCATCCCTAAGCTGAATCTGACTGGTAGGCTTGGTCAGGGCTTTCTCCCAAAGAAATTCAGTGTTTGGCAGAACGTGGTGGAGTTTTTCAGTTCTTAATCCTGTTCCTTCCTGAACTTCTTGTGCTCCCTTTGGAAGCCTGTATGCTAAATATGGAATGATACAGAGAGTGTTAGCATGGCCCCTCTGCAAGGGTGACACACAAAGCTGTGAAGAGTTCCAAGTGATAGGACAAGAGGAAATGGCCTCAATTTTTCACAGGAGAGGTTGAGGTTGGAGCTGAGGAACAATTTTTTCCCCTTGAGGGTTGCCCAGGGCAGTGGTGGAGTCCCCACCCCTGGAGGGGTTTCCAGGCCGTGGAGATGTGGGGTGAGGGACACGGGGCAGTGGGGACCTGGCAGTGCTGGGGGAATGGTTGGACTCCATGACCTTAAAGGTCTTTTCCAACCAAAATCATTCTATGATTGCCATTTTCATAGTATCTTCTGTGCCTTTCTGCCAAGAGTTTCATAACTTCAGAAGACAACCAAGGAGCTCTCCACCCAAAAAAAAACGTTACCTCCCAATTCCCTTCACTCAGCACCCTCCAGGAAGCTGAGAGCTGTTTCTGGAGCTTTTTGGGGTCACCTCATGGTTGGGGATGGTTCTGTCCCTGGCAGGCCGTGCTCCTCCTCGGAACACCACCGTGGATCTCAACAGCGGCAACATCGACGTGCCCCCAAACATGGCCTGCTGGGCCAGCTTCCACAACGGGGTGGCTGCTGGCCTGAAGATAGCCCCTGCTTCACAGATAGACTCTGCTTGGATTGTCTATAACAAGCCCAAAATTGCTGAGCTAGCAAATGAATACGCTGGCTTCCTCATGGCTCTGGGTCTCAACGGGCACCTCACCAAACTGGCCACCCTCAACATCCACGACTACCTGACAAAGGTGAGGCCTTTTGCATGAGCAACCCTGAGAAATATCTCTAGGGCTTGAATTCTTGAAACCCAACCAGAAAGAAAGAGGCAGCAGATTTCTTTGAAACACTGAACTGGAAGTTTCCTGGTGTGGGAGAACATCAGAGATGCTTTGTGAGTGTTTGTAGCACAGTTTTTTTCTGTTGAAAAGGTGTTTCAGCAGTTTTATCACAGAATCTTTCCATGCTCACTGAGACAGGTGAATGCTCTGAATGGTTTCTGCTCAGTTTTTGTCAAGATGTTCTTGTTGATCTTTGCATTGACCCAGTTAGAGCTAGAGACTCAGGATTTCATGGACTTTGTGTTAAAACCTGGAAACCTGATGTGCTCATGAAATCTCACCTTGAATTGTAAGAAGCTGTGAATACATCATTCCTTTCAAACAAAGCAGGAAGCTGCAGATGTGGGGAGGATAAAGAACTCCCAAGGAGGTAGAGAAGATCCTTTTGAAGCTAAAAATTCAGGTTTTGTTTTTAGAACAATGGAAGTGTTGGGGGGTTTGATGGAATCTAAACCTCTGTGTCGTGACCACGCTCAGTATTTCCTTGGGCAAGGAGTTCAGTAGGGGTAGAAATCTGCCTCTGCAGTGAAGTCAGACATTTGGGGAACACTTTTACACCCCTAACAGCTAGTGTTCATTTTGCTGAAGAGGTGGATCAAAAAAAAAATCAGCTGCTGTGTATATTTGGCAAGATGAGATGTGTGTTAGGTAAACGTTCTCCCTTTTCTGATGAGGTCTGATCTCTGATCCCTCATCTCCTTTGGCAGGGCCACGAGATGACAAGCATTGGGCTGTTGCTGGGCGTGTCTGCTGCCAAGCTGGGCACCATGGACATGGCCATCACACGCCTCCTGAGCATCCACATCCCTGCCCTCCTGCCCCCCACTTCCACGGAGCTGGATGTGCCCCACAACGTGCAGGTGGCCGCCGTCGTTGGCATCGGCCTCGTCTACCAGGGCACGGCCCACAGGCACACAGCTGAGGTCCTGCTGGCAGAGATAGGTCAGTACCAGCACTGGGACAAAGGGACCTGAGCCTGGGAGGGTCACAACACATGGATGGTTTGCCTGGGGCATCAGGGGATGAGGATTTGAACATGAATCCTTTTAACTGTTCACCCCTGAGTCAGTGTTCACCTCTCGTTTCCCCAACGTCCTCTTTAGTGTCCAGAAGAACAGAAGTTCCTGGGAATTGTGTGGTTGCCCAGGTGGCCAAGAGAGCCACCAAGCATCCTGGCTTGGGTCAGCACCACTGTGGCCAGCAGGACTGGGGCAGGGGTTGTCCCCCTGGATTGGGCAGGGATGAGGCCACCCCTCAAATCCTGGGGCCAGTTTTGGGCCCCTCGCTCCCAGAAGGACCGTGAGGGGCTGGAGTGTGGGCAGAGAAGGGCAACAAAGCTGCTGGGGAAGGGTCTAGAGCCCAAGTGTGGGGAGGAGCAGCTGAGGGAGCTGGGGGTGCTGAGCCTGGAGCAAAGGAGGCTCAGGGGAGCCCTTCTGGCTCTGCACAGCGCCTGACAGGAGCCTGGAGCCAGGGGGGGGTCGGGCTCTGCTCCCAAGGGACAGGACAAGAGGAACCAGCCTCAGGTTGCCCCAGGGGAGGTTGAGGTGGTACATGAGGAACAATTCCCAGACTTTCTTGAGAAGGGACAGCTTCTCCCCCAGTTTCATTAGGAATTAAAGGCTATTTCCCTAGCTGGAGCTGTAAGAGGTGACTTCTGCTGCTGTGTCTCCCCCAGGACGTCCCCCTGGACCAGAAATGGAGTACTGCACAGACAGAGAGTCCTACTCACTGGCCTCTGGCCTGGCCTTGGGCATGGTTTGCTTAGGGGTAGGTGCCTCTTCATTTCAACTGCAATTAGCAGAAAAAAATCATTCCACAGGGAGGCAATTCCATCTTATTTCTTCTTCTCCTCCTCCTCCTTCCTCAGCACGGCAGCAATCTGATTGGCATGTCAGACCTCAATGTTCCTGAGCAGCTGTACCAGTACATGGTTGGGGGTTACAGGAGATTCCAGGCAGGAATTCACAGGGAATGCACAGGGAGAAGCACAAGTCCCCCAGTTACCAAATCAAGGTATGAACTGAGGAGTTTTTGCTCCTTTGAGCTGCAGATTGCAATAGTAGAAGTCTGAGGGGGGGGTGTCTCCATGCACCAAGTGACTTCGGGTCACATCCATGCAACAAGAGGCTGTGTACACATCACTACAGGCTGTTGTCTTCCCAGTCAACTGGTCTGAAAGTCTGTGTTGTGTTTTGGCAGGAGGGAGACACCATAAATGTGGATGTCACTTGTCCAGGGGCCACACTGGCACTTGCTATGATCTACCTAAAGACAAACAACAGGTACTGACCTTGGCATTGTGGAAGTAACAAACAAGAGGATGAGAGGAACCAGCCTCAAGTTGCCCCAGGGGAGGTTGAGGTTGGAGCTGAGGAACAATTTTTTCCCCTGGAGGGTTGCCCAGGGCTGTGCCAGGCTGCCCAGGGCAGTGGTGGAGTCCCCACCCCTGGAGGGGTTCCCAAGCCGTGGAGATGTGGGGTGAGGGACACGGGGCAGTGGGGACCTGGCAGGGCTGGGGGAATGCTTGGACTCAATCATCTTAAAGATCTCTTGCAACCAAAACAGCTCTGTGACTCTGTGAATTGCTGAAATAAGATCTGGCAACTGTGTTCCTCTGCTGTGCTCTGCAGATCTATTGCTGACTGGCTTCAAGCACCAGACACCATGTATTTGCTGGACTTTGTAAAACCAGAGTTCCTGCTGTTGAGGGTGAGGTTTTCTTTGGTTTCCTCTCTCCATCTGCATTTCTGAATGCATTTAATACATTAGGAAAAAAAAAAATCCAGATGTTGGTGGTTTGTTTGGTTTTTTCTTCCTTATGTTTTGGCTTTCTCACTATTTTTTAGACCTTGGCTCGGTGCCTGATTCTGTGGGATGACATCTTGCCCAATTCCAAGTGGGTCAACAGCAACGTGCCTCAGGTAGGTATTTACACCTCATGGGATTGTTCTGCTATGGGGACATTTCCAGAGCCACATGAGCTGCACCAAAAAATGTTTGATAATCCAGTTCAGATTCCTGGACCATTAACAGGAGCTTTGGGGGCTCCCATCCCATCGTGGTAGAGAGGAGGGGGCTGGGGAGGGATGCAGCTCTTCAAGTCATAAAATGGTGCCAGAGAAAGAGAGGGATTAAACTGGGCTCTACATGGCCCAAGCAAGAAGTGCAAAATTGCTGTGAGGAGCCTTCAGCTGAGGGTTAAATGATGGATAAATCTCCCTCAGGGTGCTGGTGGTGCCTGTGGCCTCTTGGGGTCTCACCCTGTGCTGTTGTCTCTCATATCTGAGTGCACACATTAACACTGTGCTTCAGACACAGTCTGGCCATTGTTTTAGAAAGCTTTAAGGGATCAGATCCAGGAGCATTTGGACCCTTTGGGATCAGAAGTACAACAGAGTAATAGCATGTGGGGGGGGAAAAAACCAAACAGCTTTTCAGAAACAGCCCTGGTTTGTATCGGGCATGAACCCTCAGTGCCCAGAGGTGCAGTGAATTAATTGCTTTCCCCTGGATTAATGCTTCTTGTAGATTATCAGAGAGAACAGTATCTCTCTTCAGGCAACAGAGCTGCCTTCATCTGAAGACCTGAGCTTAGAAACACTGGCGTGAGTAACATAAAAAGTCCTGAAAAATGGAGCTGAGCTCTTTAGAGATACCAGAAAAAAACCCCTTCCCTTGGTATTTCAGAGCTCCACGGTGGAGGATAAACCTTTCTTTTCAATTCTCCCATTTTGTTAATTGTGAAGGGCTTTGTGATGCATATTCAGCTGAGGAAAAAAGAGCAACATTTAGTCATTTCCTGTTTATCTTGCTTAATTAGGCAAGCTCATGTCTACATCATTGCTGGAGCCTGCTTGTCGCTGGGATTTCGCTTTGCAGGTTCGGAGAACCTGGCAGCTTTTAACTGCTTGGTAAGAGGGGCTCATTTTTTGGTTTCCCCTTCCATTCCCATCGAGCTGGAACTGGATCTTTTGTATCTATATTTCTTATGCATTTCTTTTCTTGCCAGTATAAATATGCAACAGATTTCCTGAAGTGTTTGTCAGCACCAACGGCTTCCATAGTAAGTCCTCTCTAGTTTCCTCTGGCTGCGTGGTGGAACGTGCTTCAGTAACTCTCACCAAAACCCTGATGGAAACTAAACCATCCTCTGTGCTCTGCTGTGCTACAGCCTGTTTATAGAACATGAATCACTTTTGCTGAGGCCTTTGCTGCTCCTCTGCTTTCCCACTTTCTGTGGAATGTGGTTTTTGAGCTCTGAGGTAGAAAGCGGCGCCGTAGCCCGACCAGAAGCCCGCTTTTGACCACAGAAGTGTAAGAAATGCCTTTGCTCTTCTGCCTGAAGACAGGTCACTACAATCTGGAGACGTGCCTGAGCGTCCTGCTGCTGTCCCTCTCCATGGTGATGGCTGGTTCTGGGAACCTCAGAGTCCTCCAGCTCTGTCGTTTCATGCACAAGAAGACGGGTGGAGAGATGAACTACGGCTTCCACCTGGCTCACCACATGGCCCTGGGGCTTCTCTTCCTGGGAGGAGGAAGGTGACTTCTCGTTTCCAAGGGCATTTCTTCTTTAATCTTTCACCTCTCCTGCAAAAGCTGGAGCAGCGTGCAGTTGACTTGATTTTTATCATTATTTTTTCATAACAGAGGGATGCACAAAGATGTTTTCTACTGCAAACCAAAGTCCTGTTGTTCTCCTGTTCTTAAACACCAGAGAAATGTATCTTGCTTGTGTTTCTTCCCTACCACTACATGTTTATTTTGGTTGCTGTAGGAACACATCTATGAATCCCTTGCCTGCCTGCACTTTGCTAACGTCCTTCCCTTCCCTGGGACACCAAAATATTTTGAATGCCTGTGGTCCTGGCCAGTGTTTGTTATCAGAGGAACTAACAGATGATGTTTTTTTCTACAGATATTCACTGAGCACCTCAAATTCTTCCATTGCTGCTCTCCTCTGTGCTCTGTACCCTCACTTCCCTGTGCACAGCACGGACAATCGGTAAGGAGTTGTAGCTCCTGCAGGTCAATCATCTTCTCACAAAAGAGGTTCTGTAGAGGAAAATTAGATTTTTACCTCTGGATATATTCTTTTTTAAAGAATTTTTACCGAGGTGCTCTGTAAATGAAAGCATTAAGAAAAGAAAGAGTGGAAAACAAGCAGTGAGTGAAGGTGTAAGGTGATGATCACTGGTCTTTGATTGGTGAGGAAATGCAAGCAGGCTTCCCAAGGCTCTACTCTGTGCTCCTGTGACTTCACTCTTCCAGTTTGCTCAGCTGAGAAGATTTTCGTGCAAGATCTGTCTGTTTATGACCCTCGATCAGTTTTAGTGAGGCTTCATTAGCTCCTGTTCTGTTGGTGAACCCACTCATGTTAAAAAATACCAAGCCTGCTACATGGCTACAAAATTCTCTTGTGTTTACTCGACAGCTGTGTTCACTTAGTGAGCTGTGGGTGGTTTGGTGTTTGGGGGTTACCCCCTGTGTGTGCTGCAGGGGGCTGGATGCCTCTTCCCCCTCTCCCCCAACAGGTACCACCTCCAGGCTCTGCGTCACCTGTACGTGCTGGCAGCAGAGCCCAGGCTCCTGACCCCCGTGGACGTGGACTCCAACACTCCCTGCTACGCCCTCATCGAGGTGACCTACAAGGTAACGTGCCTGGGGGGGGGCCCTGGGAAGGTGTGGGGACAGCTGAGGGTTCTGACACACCAAATTCTCCCTGTGGTGGCCAACAGCCTTGAGTCTGTTTTCAAATCGTGCTGAATTCTGTGCAGGTGATGAGAAGGGTGGTGCTTGACCCACTGGCACCTGACCTGGGCTTTGATGGCACCTGCAGAGCAGAATAAAAAGCACCCTGAGGTCTTCAAGCAGTCAAGTGTGTAGTCACCAACCCAGGGTTGTAGTTCACCTCTTCCTACAGAGGACTTTCAAAGGCACAGAAGTGGCTGGAACCATCTGTGGTTTTAAAAAGCCACTCCTAATTCTGCTGAAACAGGCAACTTGGTGTTCCTCCTTGGTGCTTGGGTTGTGGGTGTTTTGGGGGAGAGCCCTTCCATCATACAACCTCATGTGTGATGCTCCTGGAAGGAGTGATGAAAGGGCTCCTGGCATTTCAGAGGAGAAGAGGTGCAGCAGCACGGATCCTTTGTGTTTCTAGCAAAGCACCCAAAATTTGGAGCTTTGGAGGCTGGCTTGCACCCTGCTCTGTGCTGCTCCATCGATGGGAAGTGCAGTTGTAGTCAGTCTTACACTGCTTGACATTCAAGGCAGTGCTAAGTCATGAATTTACTCAGAACTCAGGAACAGAAACCACCTGACTTCTGACTTCTGCCAAGGGAGTCGCTCTGAATGAGATGCACGTTTTTTTCTCTCTCTTTTTCACACCAAAATGAGCTCTGCTAACCTGTGAATGCTGGTGGCATTTTGAAGGGCACGCAGTGGTACGCGGAGGCCACCGAGGAGCTGATGGCACCCACGCTTCTTCCAGAGCTCCACTTGCTGAAGCAGGTAAAGGAAGTCTCCATTCTCCTGAGGAATCTACTCACCCCCTTTTTTGTCTCACAAACAGTGCAAGAACAGAGATTTGGTGGCTTTTCTTTGATTCTCTGCCCAGCCTTGGCCAGAGTGGGGACAGCAGCCCCATGGTGAGGGCTCTGGAGAGCAGATGTGTAATTATGCCACGTGGATCATTAACACTTTCAGGATCTGGTGTAGCAGGGAGTTTTGCTGTGGGATGCACCAATTCAGGTGCCCTTCCTGCATTTTCTGGGTGGGTAGCAGTAGAAAAAGGGCACAGTGCTTTTGTAAAGGGCCAGAAAGAACTGGAAGCTTGGGTAGGAAACTCTTAATTTTATTCTTCTGGTTATATCTAGTAATAAAAATGCTTAATTTGACAGATCAGAGTGAAGGGACCACGGTACTGGGAGTTATTAATAGACCTGAGCAAGGGGACACATCACCTCAAGTGAGTACTCTTCATAATGCTGAACTGAGTCATAACCTGGGAGTCATTTTTTTTTAACATTTATGGGGTTTTTTTTTAAACTTTCAGTACTTGTAACACCTACAGGTTGGAAAGAAGTCTGGTTTTGCTGGGTTCCCTGTCGTGCCTTGGACAGCACTTCAGGGTGAAGAGAGAAACTGCGTAGCTGGTTTCACCTATTGATGTGAATAATTCATGCAAAAACAACAGGGCAGGGGAAAACCTGATAGTAAAAACCACAGATCTTGGCAGTGGGATGGAGCAGTATCAGAAACCATCTCAGACTCATGATTTGAGTTTGGTTTTGAGTGGGTATGATGTCACCTTTCCCAGACTGTTGATACAGGAGTTAGCTAACTGTTACTGCTTTGTGAAAGACTCTTTGTTTCTCATGTTACGTGGAGTTTACCAAGCACTTCTTGCTACATTTGAACTCTCCAGGGGGCAACTGTGAAAAACAAATCTTACCGGAATGCAGTATCTGTGGGTAACATCATCCTCCTGCTTCTGCCTCACCTACAGCACAGCTCCCTGCTCTGAGGGGTGGAGGAGCAGCCAGCTGCACCTCTCAGCAGTCAAACGGGTGCTTTTGGAGTTAATTTCATGCTCCTGTTGGGGTCCAATGAAACAATTCAGCATCTGGTGGTCCGTGCCTTGAAAGATCATGGAATTATCTTTAAAGATCATGAAATTATCCTTCAAGCAGCAGGGTGTAGATCCCTCCAGATGAGGAGGCACCTACTGGTGGCACAGCATCGTGTTCCCCAGCCCTTGAAAATGGCAAGGGCCTGGCTGGGGTGGTGTTCTGGTGATGAGGGCACGTGGGAGGAGCCATCCTCCTGAGCTTGGCACATGTGAATTGTTCCCCTGTTGTCAGCTCAGCAGCAGGTTTCAATACAGACCATCCTGTTATTTTAAGGATGCCCAAGGGCCTGCAGCTCATGGTGCAGCTGATACTCTGGGTCAGGGGAAGGTGACTTGGAGCTGCTGCCCAACTTCTCTTTGCAGGCCTGGTCAGGAATTAACAGGGGTTATTGGGGTGTTGGGGGTTTTCCTGCAGCACCCCTCTAAAGCTGAGGAGACTCACTCACATGGTTTTCTTTGGTGCTGGGAGCTCATCCTCCAAGAGCCTGACAAGAACCTGCAGTGGTTTCAGGGGGTTCTGTTCTGTTTATCAGGAGAATCATCACAGAATCAAACTAATTTGGGTGGGAAGGGACCAGTCAGTTGGACTTTCATCCAGTCCAGCCCCCCTGCAGGGAGCAGGGACACCCCCAACCAGAGCAAGGTGCTCAGAGTTTGTTCCACCCTCCCCTGGGAGTGTGCCAGGGATGGGGCAGCCACCACCTCTCTGGGCAGCCTGGGCCAGGAGCTCACCACCCTCAAACATTTCTTCCTTATGAGCCTGGCTGGTCCCTTTTTTGCCACCTTTGCCTGGTATCACATCACTATGGGATAGCAGCCTGCTCTGAAGACAGCAGCATCTCTGTGCACACACACAGGGAGGGCAGGATGGCATCGGTCAGGACAGATCCTAAGCAGGGATCATCTCACGGGTGAGCTGCTGGGGCTCCCATTTCCTCCACGTCGCCTCTAAAAGCACTTTTGTTGTTATTCCAGATCCATTCTTTCCAAGGGTGGCATCCTGTACGTGAAGCTGAGGGCTGGGCAGCTCTCCTACAAGGAGGACCCCATGGGCTGGCGCAGCCTCTTGGCACAGACCGTCACCCACCGCAACTCTGAGGCTCGGGCGTTCAAGGTACCACCCCCCAGAT